GATGTAACAAATATACTGTATGTAAATTATATAGTAAAATGGTTTTAATGCCATGTTCCTCAGAAAGATGTTTGACACAAAACCTGAACATTTGAGTTTTAAGAACTCTTCCTAGAGAAGGAAAGTACTAAAGAAAATGAATATGCAAAAAAAAAAAAAACTTAAAACAAAACATGGCAGCTTGAAGCCATGTCACTTTTTGGTATTTCAGTCTCTAGATAATAAATGCCAAGATGATAGGTCAAAGTCTATTGACAGAGAAGGAGGAGGAAAAGGAGAAGGAGGAATGGACACATAAATGGGAAATTTGATAAACTGCTGAAACATTGTCAAATATTTCAGAAGAACACCACTGCGGAAGATTTAACAAGTTAAATCCTCTCACCCACAAGTGAGAGATAGAATAGGCCCCTCTAGCATTTTGAATGTGAAGAAAACGAAGAAAGCATGTTTACATAGAAATAGTCAATATCTCTGTAAAGCAGCTGTATCTCTTTTCAGAATTGTGCTGGAACTTTCTGCTGCAGCAAAATTCTGGACAGAGAGCCTTTGGCGAGGGGTTACCAATAGATAATGTATAAAGGTTCCCCTTGCACATATGTCCTAGTCGTTCCCGACTCTTTGGGGCGGTGCTCATCTCCGTTCCAAAGCCAAAGAGCCAGCGCTGTCCATAGACATCTCTGTGGTCATGTGGCCAGCATAACTAAACGCCAAAGGCGCACAGAACACTGTTACCTTTCCACTAAAGGTGGTGCCTATTTTTCTACTTGCATTTTTACATGCTTTCAAACTGCTAGGTTGGCAGAAGCTGGAACAAGTAATGGGAGCTCACTCCATTATGCGGCACTAGGGATTCGAACTGCTGAACTGCTGAACTTTCGATTAACAAGCTCAGCATCTTAGTCGCTGAGCCACCGCTTCCCACCTAGATAGTGTATACTCTAAAGTAACTCAATCAAAACTAAAGTGCTAAATAGAACCAACTGGTAATCTAATTCATTTAGGGATTTAATAGAAAATCTTTCCTTTGCTAACCTTTGTGTAGGCTCTTAACTTTACCAACTAATTGTATTTTATATTGCTTTGTCTTTTTCCATGTGTGACCATATTATTCTTAATTTGATTGTACTTGTGTCAAGCTATCTTGAAGAAAAATAAAGCAAAACATCCGAGAAGAAAGAATGGGATTAGGGCAGAGTTCTTCAAGCCCTTTTACAAAATAGCAATAGCAATAGCACTTAAACTTATATACTACTTCATAATGCTTTATAGGCCTCTCTGGACGATTTACAGAATCAGCGTATTGCTCCCAACAAACTGGGTCCTCATTTTACCCACCTTGGAAGCATTTAAGGCTGAGTCAACCTTCAGCTGGTCAGGATAGAACTACTGGCAGTAGTTCCAATACTGGTTAGAATGCAGTACTACACTACCACGGCCCCCCATTTTCTGTATGCTCCATCTGTCACTGCTGAGTGAATTAAATGCTTTATAACATTAAATCAGGAGAGCAATTTGTTTTTTAGTTCAAAATCTGAATGGAGTATGTGTTAGGAGTTATATACCTTCAACTTAGTAGCACCAGAAAAAGAACCCTAAATTTGTACTTATTTAAAGTATTTTTTTTAAAATTAGCATAGTTATTCTTTCATTCATTCATTTATTTAATAATGTTTCTTGGATAAGAACTTACAGAGGAATTCTAGAGGTCGAAGAATGTCAAGCCCTGAGACCTTCTTCACCTCTGTATAATGTGAATTGTGGAGAAGTCTGATACTTCTTTTCAAAGTAATCTTTTTCCTGTGTTATTTTTTTACTTTCTTCTTCTTTTTTATGGTAGAAACTGTGGCAAACCCAGCTTTATTTGGCCAGAGATGGAATAATTTCTTCTACTGTAAATTTATTTTGGAGAGAAACAGATAGAATTTAAAATCTTACTGCTTCCTTTTTGTAATTGTTTTTTCTCTTAATTCTCTCTGTATTTCCTTTACAGCATAGCATTTTAGGTAGCTGGCAGTTACAAATACATCAATAAAGGTCTATGCTTATTTATAAGTGATAATATACTATTTAGAAAGGTAGGCTTTCCTTCTTTTTATGGACTTCCACTTCAACGTCTCTCTTCTTTTCTTAGCTGCATGTCTCTTTATATAACCTCTTAGTTTAGTACAATGCAAATATTCCATCATTTCATCACAAGTTTTTTTTTTAAAAAAATAACTGATCACTCCTGAATGTTGTTCCCATCCAGGAGTGGGTTCTAATTTTTTTTACTACCGGTTCTGTGGGCGTGGTTTATTTTGTGGGTGTGGCTTGGAGGTCATGTGACTAGGTGGGCGTGGCTAGCTGGTCAGAGTCATTTCTGGAAAGTCCTCGCACTTACGACCAGTCCTTGCACTTACAACCCAACTCATTTGTTTGCTTTTAACACTGATCAGCTGTAGGACGGCCCTTTGAAGCCCCGCGGCAAGAGTTTAAACAGTTTTTTTCCCTCTAGTCATCAGCTGGGACTCAGGAGGCAGCAATAGATTGGGGTGGGACCAAATAAAAGGTAAGAATAACGTGGGTGGGTGGGAGGGGGGGAGAACTGGTTCAGTGATGTCATATCGTCACCGCTACTGGCTTGGCCGAACTGGACCGAACCGGGAAGAATCCACCACTGTTCCCATCTTGTGGTCATCTACATTTCTGTAGCTTTGATATAGTAAGACTAACTCCATTTATCTGGGAGGCTCCAATAAAGAAAAAAATTAGATGTTACTCAGTAGTAGTAGAATTCAGTTCATTTATTTTTTTAAGTTAAGTTAATTATATAAGGGCATCAAGATCATTGCAATGATATTAAACTGTGCAGCCAGAAGTACACAATATGTATCATGGCATATCCTGAATACATGTAGCTCTGAACTGGTTTGAGATAGAAAGTAGAATGTTGGCTATCATGTTAGACTCTAGACCATGGTTGTCTAACCTTTTGGCTTGCCTGAAGAGATTTGAATGAAGTGGAATTATGTTGGGGCACATATATAATTGTTATATATAGTTAATGCATATAAATAGCAAATGTTCTTTTATTTATTTGTTTGTTTGTTTGTTTATATTTTTATTGTATTGTGGGACTAGCTGTTGAGGGCCACATTTGGTCTGTGGGCTGTACAAGAGTATACTGGAGTATACTAACTTGCACCAAAAGACCTTTGTTTGTATGGGCTATTTACATATATTTACCACATTAAAAATTAAAATTGACACATTCACTACCGATACTGCTCCTCGTGATTGTTTGATGGGTATTAATACTATATTGTTTTGCAATCTAGGCTGGAAAACGCTTTTGATTTTGCAGGTCACTAGGCGGTCCTTGGGAGATTCCAGGATGCCTAATACCACACTTTAAGAAACACTGACATAAACACCCTTGTGCTTGTGGCATAATAGCTATAAGTTCTTCACAGATGTTGCTACTTACATAATATTTCAGTTGACTTAATTTGCCACTAGATAAGTGGCCCAAATACCTGTTTCTGTCTTTGCATCATTACACAGCAGAACCAACCAACCAAACCTTTACTGATATCTGAGCAGAAGTTGCGATAGATCTGACATGAAACACATCTTCACATCAGCCCAACTTAATTTATTAAGACCGATTACTCTTTGGATCGCAGCATCTAGAGATGTGTTTGTTTGTTTATTTGTTTGCGTGTATAATTCGTTCATCTTTGTAGGCTGTAATTCACTCTTTTTCATCCCAATCTCAGATTTACTTATCTTACTCACCATCACAACCAATTTATAATATTTACTTTCAATTGCTTAACAATTATTCAGTTATTACACACATAAAGAAAAAAAATCAAAATTATAACCTACCTAATTATTTCTACCAAAAATAATTAAAATAGAGTTTTATAAGATGCTTTACCAGTTTACCTCCTGGTGAATGAGGAAGATGTAGATGGTCAGCAGCATTCTCAAAATGAAAACAGCTGGGAAGATGTTAGGAGATAGGGTACAATTCTGGAGAAAAGTCTGACTTATGGGTTGAATTAATTATTACATTTTATAATATTAAGCAGAGCAATATATTTAGACCAGAAGGTTTAAGTTGGTTAAAATCACCATTATTAAAATAGTACACTTTTGGTGAAGATGAATACTGGGGCTAATTATTTTTTTACTGTTTTCAAGAACATTATCTTCAGGTACTGGCCTTCCCATAATATTTACACCCACCAAATAAGTAGCTTAGCTATTGCGATCTGTGTCTCTATATATATCTGTGTCTCTATATATACTCTCTCTCTATATATATATAGTATGGTGGTCCGTATACCATTCCAGCAAACACTGCATATCAAAAGCAATAGCATGTATAAAAAAAACCCCTACAAATTGAGAACAATAAAAAACATTTAAACCAGTAAAGTTGTCGCTAGAATAAGGAGTAGATTATTCAAAATTTGTTAAGACAGCATTCTTGTCCTTTGGATTTTGTTTTATTTTTCCAGGAAAATAGCTGCATTGGTCTATTGCAGCAAACACAATTGTGGGCAACTGAACACATGTAGTGCTGCTTATGATTACATGGATAGTTTCTTCAAAGCTTGTGATTCTTCAGCCTCTGGTCTCCCACAATACAAAAGCTGTCCCATGAAAATCATTTCAATATGGTGCAGTTATGCAACGCAAGGTGCATATGTAAATAGTGCCAGTCAGCTGGGTCTTTCCCATGCATTTTACAATCCAGTGTTAACAAGACCTTCTTTGTGAGAACAGTGGCTCACAGAAAGATCAGTCTCTTGGAAAATGCACATGCTGTTTCTACTTTGATGTTCTTTTTCTTCAGGCAACATTAGTCCCAAGTAACAATTTGAAAACATACAACAATAATGCTGTAGCTAAGCAATTTAGGGCTTCATCACTGCCTATTTGGGCAATCATCTGAAAAGTCCTTTGTATGCCATAAGATATTAACAGACTGATTTTACTGTTTTCAGGTGAACGTCCTTATCAGTGCCCCTATTGTGACAAAGCTTTCAGCAAGAATGATGGATTAAAAATGCACATCCGCACCCATACAAGAGTAAGTAGGAGCATTTAATGATTTTGCTATGATCTGCCACATTAAAAAAAAAAAACAACTGGGGAAAAGAAAAAGAAAATTATGCTTCTAGGCAAATTGAGAACTGAAACATTTAAACTGCGGATCAATTCATAAAACTGCTCTAATTGAGCGAATGTGAGATCCTTGTTTTATGTAAATACGAAACTGTTGAGATATCAGCATCAGGGGTGAAATGCTACCGGTTAAGACTGGTTTGGAGAATCGGTAGCGATGGCAGCGTAAGGCTCCGCCCACCTGCCCAGTCGCCATTACTTCCTGGTTTTAACCAGGAACTAACCTGTTTTTTACCCTCTGCGCATGCACAGAAGGGTTTGCGTATGCGACGCGCGTGGGGCACATGCACTTCCAAACCAGGGATGGTAAGTAGATTTCACCCCTGATAATCATGTATTTTTTAAATTCAATTTTGTTATCCTGGATGTAGAATAACTGTAATATTGTACTGCTGTGCTTGAATTGTAAATGAGATGTACTGATTAGGTGTGTTGTTTTGTTCATGTATACATATAATTTGGTCTTTCATCTAAACAAGTGATCTGTTTTCCCCAATATTTTCACTGATATATTGTTTCTATTTCCCAATCATTGGGGAAATGAAAGGATTTTTTTTTTTTTACTTTGGCCAAGCAGGAACAAGCAGATAGTTTTTATGGATTTCTTGGAATAGAGACAGTCGTAATAACTTACTGTTGAGTTCTCTAGGTTTTGAGAGCTTAATACCTAGCACTAATACCCATGTTTGTATGCAGATGTTTCACCATGTGCCTCTACAAGGCTTCCTCAGTGCAGCAGTTCAGAAGGGAAGGTTGCCTGGTGCTACTGTAGTCTGCAGGATATCTGAATGTGCTGATGGAGGTGGTACTCTTGATTGGTGATGGAAGGTTTCTGTGGCAGGTCAATCAGTTGATTCATGGGAGTCCTTTTTAAAAAGGAACAAGGTTTTTTTTAAAAAAATCATAGCTGTATAAATTCAATTCCTGATTATAAATCCTTTGAACAGTTGTCATCCTTTCAAGTTTGAATATTATCTCAGAAATTTCTGGCTTTAACACATTCTGCTTATGCTATATATATGCTTGTATGCTAACCATGCATCTCTGTTAATGGGAGATTCATTTTTCCTTGAAACAGTCTGTGCAAACAATAATGACTGGAAAACATCTGGTGAATTCAGTTACAAGAACTGCTATAATAATTAATATTACCCAGATTAAATATAGAAACTGTTTAAATTGTCTAGGCCTTTTTCTGTCATGGTAACAGTATTGAAAACTGATTTCTATCTGCTGCTACACCCTTTTAAATGAGGAAAGTTAAATGAAACAAACCATCAAGGTAACAACTTAGGCCATCAAATTCATCTCAATATGCAAAACTGTAAATGAGTAACAATTTGGCTGGGTATACTACCCAATATACTATATACGTATTCAAATGCTCATACAACTATTCACAGGTGCACATACTCTCCTATCTCATATACCATGCAATATACTTCACCATTACGCACAAGATGCAGGGTTTTCTACTAGGTGTAATGCCAATAATACTAGAAAATTTGATGGTGGATAGTGCCTGTTTGCACCATTTGCCATGGGCTACATTTCTACATTGAATTTGGATCTTGACTGAAAATTGGGGCAGCAGCTTAAAAAGGCAAAGCCACATTCTCCAGAAAACAAAGCAAGATAAAACACAGGATGGAATTGATCTTCTACATGATGCTACTCCAATAGCGTCAAGAAGCAGCGCTGCACACACTGATTTATCACATAATGGCTATTGACAAAATTATGAAGAGCATGAATTTTGCTTTTTAATGAACAAACTGGTTGTTGTTGTTGTTGTTGTTGTTGTTGTTGTTATTAAAACCCCTTACCTATAAAATTAACCAGTTAAAATTTTAAGCCAGCCCGGCTTGCTGAAATAGAAAAGTCTTCAGGGCCCAGTGGAAAGTACGGAGGTCCGGGATCAGTCGTATCCCTGGGGATAGCTCATTCCAGAGGGCAGGTGCCCCCACAGAGAAGGCTCTCCCCCTGGGGGCCACCAGTCAAAATTGTTTAACCGACAGCACCCTGAGGAGACCCTCTCTGTGGGAGCGTATTGGCTGGTGGGAGGTTATTGGTGGCAGAAGGTGGTCTCATAGATACCCAGGCCCAAAGCCATGGAGCGCTTTAAAGATGAGAACCAATACCTTGAAGTGCACCAGGAAGTCCACCGGAAGCCAGTGCAGCTCACGCAGGAGAGGTGTTACATGGGAGCACCACGTCGCCCCCACAATCACCCATGCAGCCGCATTCTGGACCAGTTGGAGCCTCCGGGTGCTCCTCAAGGGGAGCCCCATGTAAAGAGCATTACAGTAGTCCAGGCGGGAAGTAATGAGGGCATGTGCGACCGTGCATAAGGAGTCCCAATCCAGAAAGGGGCGCAACTGGTGTATCAGGCAAACCTGATAAAAAGCCCCCTGGCCACGGCCGTCATATGCTCTTCTAAAGACAGCCGTGCATCCAAAAGGATGCCCAAGTTACGAGCCCAATCCGTGGGGGCCAATGACTCGTCCCCAATAGCCAGCGATGGCACCAGCTGGCTATATCGGGACGCCAGCAACCACAGCCACTCGGTCCTGGAAGGGTTGAGTCGGAGCCTGTTCCTCCCCATCCAGACCCACAAGGCTTCTAGGCATCGGAACATCACTTCAAGGGCATCATTGGGGTGGTCTGGGGTGGAGATGTACAGCTGAGTGTCATCAGCGTACAGATGGCACTGCACCCCAAAACCATGGATGATCTCACCCAGCGGCTTCACATAAATGTTGTCAACAGGAGAGGCGAGAGGCGACCCTTGCAGCATCCCACAAACAAGGTGCCTTGAGGTCGACCTCTGCCCCCCGCCAACACAGACTGTGACCGGTCGGAGAGATAGGAGGAGAACCACCGTAAAATGGTGCCTCCCACTCCCAACCCCTCCAGCCAGCGCAGCATGATACCATGGTCAATGGTATCAAAAGCCGCTGAGAGGTCTAATAGGACCAGAACAGAGGAGCAGCCCCTGTCCCGAGCCCTCCAGAGATCATCAACCAATGTGACCAATGCCGTTTTCATGCTGTACCCAGGCCTGAAGCCGGACTGAAATGGATCTAAATTGACAGTTTCATCCAGGTACTGCGGGAGCTGTCGCGCCACCACACTCTCAACAACCTTCGCCACAACATGTTTTACATGTTGCGTTTACAACATGCTTTACCTGCTGGACAGATGAAATTAACATGATCAGACCACCCACCACCAATATCTAATGATATTAGATTAAATATGTCATCCAGAGTGTATTAGTTTAATAGCTAAATAGTAATCCATGGACAAGAAAAAGAACATTTTACAATATCTTCTGATTTAAAGATAGATTATGGTCACTGTTTTTAGTAATGCTGTGAGTTGAAGTCAGTTATATATTTTGAGGTCTAATTTTACAGATTAAAAGTTCAGTTGGTTATAATATTTTTTCCCCATCTACTAAAGTAATCATTAGACTTTCCAGTCTTCCCAGCTAAAAATAAAACTGTCACCAGGATTTTTTCTGGATCTTTTATTGCCACTAAATGTTAAAGTTCAAGGAAGAATTTAGGGATATCTTGAACATTTTGATAGCACACTTTTTAACGGACAATGGGAAAAACAGTGACCTCATAAATCAGAGAGAAGAAATCGAAAGAAATTTAAGAAGTTAAAGAGGTGCAGAAAGTATTCTCAAGCAATCAACCATCCCTAGGATTGCATATCACTCTTAGATCCCTTACCTAAACCTTGAGATTGCTAGGTGGGCAGGAGTTGGGAAGGAACATTCTTTGTGGAGGGCTCGGATGTCGAACCCGGACTGTCATTTTTCCAGCTGACAAGCTCAACGTCTTTAACCACTGAGCCATCAATGTCCATATTTACAAGAGTAAATTACTTACTTATAATGCACTCTGCAATCATTATTTTATTCAAGGACTTTCTTCTACAAATGTTATTTCTTTTGACCTGGTAAATCATTATTGAGAATAAACCTAACACCATCTTTGAATGACAACACAGGAACCCTAAATTAAATATTTGTGATGATCAGCAATTACAAAAATATGATTTTTCTATACAATATTTATATTTATTCATTTTCCGATATGAAACTATTTTGGTTTATTTTCAACTTTCCACTGAACATCACATGCATATAGTAAAATGGATTTTCAGAGGGTTTATAAAGAATGCGGTTTTTATAAAGTACAGTGTAAAACAAATTAAGGGTGTGTTGTGAATTCCTGTTTTTCATATGCTGAGACATATACTTCTGTAAAAATTACAAGAGGCTGACATGGAATATTTTTTCAATTCATAGTCACACACAAAAGAACTCACTGACGTAAATATTTAAAAGTCAGGAGCCACAAGTTTCCTGATTAAGAGCTCTATTATGTTTGTTCCTTAAAAAAAATTTTTTTTAAACACACAAAAGTGGATAAACATTTCACAGGAAGGATGACCATGCAAAGGAGTTCCACTCGCAAGACTCATTGGAGATCACAAGGGGGTAATTTTAATGCTCTGTGTATTAATAGTTCTTTTTATTGTGTACTTGATGAATTTAAAGCAGCATTAGACATCATGGAGTGATTTTTTTCCATGATATTTCAATTATTATTATTTGCATAAGGCTATCTTCAGTCTGAAAGACTTTCCACAATTCCTTTTCACTGTGCAAGCACTGATATTTGCCTTTTAAATATGTATTTGAGGAAGGTATTTGTGATTCTTAGTCTTATGGCTAAGAAGATTAAAAATGGCTTTGATCAAAATGTCTCTGTAATATGTTGTAAATCAAGCTTCCTAAGATGTCATGTTATTTAGTTGTTTGTAGCAGGGGTTATGAAAAACAGACATAGATCCTTCCCCTCAAAACACTGCTTCTAAAAGGCTGGGAAAAATAATACCTCTATATTAAAGCGGAAGGTGCCAGCCCACAATTTTCCCACCCACTTTCAGTTCATCTTTCAAAAATTATTTTAACTAGCTTTGTTCTGACATATGTCTCTTGGAGCTGAGATATAAAGATGCATGACCCTGTGTGAAATTCTGTCTGTTAACAGCTTGTGTTCTGCATTGGCTCACTTCCACTCCATCTCTTGTTCCTGTGTTACAGGAAAAGCCTTACCAGTGCTCTGAGTGCAACAAGGCTTTCAGTCAGAAACGCGGCCTGGACGAACACATGAGGACACACACAGGAGAGAAGCCATTCCAATGTGATGTGGGTTAAGTTTCCTTTTGATATACTTATGTTTAATTTACAAATGAATCCCAAAGAGATTTCCCTTCAAATTGGGGTCCTAAACATACTGACTTCTTAGTTGTAAAGCATTAGGATTTTCTTCTGCCAAATATTTCACTGCAACTGTAGCATTTGATATTGTTCCATAAACTGATTTTGCAGTCCTTTTTGATCAGCTAATTCATCATTAAGAGGTTAATTATGTTAGCTCAAGGTTTGTTTGTTTTTGTTATGCTATGGACAGTCTGCTACATATAGTATACTTATTTTATGGCAATCTTCCCTAAAATATTGTTTACGCCATAGTAAATGGAATTTGGATAGTTTAGTTTATTTGAAACAGATCTCCCTTTGTACTGAATATAAGTTGCAGCAGAAGAGTTGGGTGAATCTGAACAGATAGATATGAAATATATAGTAGTATTCTTGTGTTTGTCCATTCAGAACATTTATTGGTTCTTGTTGGCCTTGCTCCCAGGTAAGTGTGTACAGGGCTGGACTTGTATAACTTATTTGAAAGAACTTGAACAGGTCTATTCTTATCAGCTGTTTTATCAGAGATTTTAAAAACTTGAATAAAAACTTTCATTCTCAAACATTCATATTATTACCATATCTATTTATATTGTGTGTGTATGCTGCTTTATTATCTTGGAGCATTTTTAATTGATAATCTTTTGTAGAAAAAAATAACAGTATTCTTTGATGTTTTACAGATATTATGATGGGCCACTTTATTAACATAATTGCTAGCTAATAGATGATAGATAGATAGATAGATAGATAGATAGATAGATAGATAGATAGAATACATGATAGACTTAGTTCTTAATCTTAGTGTTATTTAAAAAACAAAATAAGTGGAAGCCAGTCCCACCTTAATTACAGCACCAATATATTTGTATGCATTTTAAATAACGCATACAAATAAATAATTTATAAATAAATAAATTGAAAATAAATCATTTTTTGGACATTTCCTTATGAATGGTATACATATAAAGGAGAAGACTTTCCTTCTGCATCCTGTTCAGTTCTTACTTTCTGAGGAAACCATTTTTCCTTTCACAAAAGCACTATCCAGAGCATGAGGGAGTCTTCAGGAATTAAATGTACATAAAGGTACATATATTTTATACCATTAATTTGGCTCGTTACATTGTCTGCTTTTTTATGTTAGAATAGAGCTGAAAACTGGGTATCTATCATCTGTAAAAATCCTGCACACGAGTTAAAGTCACTACAAAGCAATGTAGCTCACATGCTTTTACTAATATTATTATTCATTATAAATAAAGTTCCATGAAATATTGTATCAAAGAAAATATTTTGAACCTCTGTTCCCACAACATGTTTAAGAGGGTCAAGAAGGGGAAGATAAGCATTTTAGACAAACTTCAAGGAGGTATTGGGCTCGGTTGGGTACTTTGAGAATACTAGCTTTAACCTAAAGAGGCTAGTCCCATAGAGAATTAAATTAACCTCATTCAGGGAGTGGCTGACTGCGGGGTTTACAGACCTTTATCCAAATAAGAGGCATCTGCAGTGTCTGCTGCTTTTAACAAAACAATGTTACAATGCAAGCTCTTGCATTGTATGCTCTTGCATATACTTTTACATTATATCTGTATAGGATATCACAATGCACACATGAAGTAGTGAAATTTAAACTACTCCAACTCTGGGTTCATCATTCTCTTCCCCAATTTTCCCCACTTCAACCCCCGCAGATGCTTCTGACCAAATCAATGCAAATGGCCTATCAGAAAGGTTTCCTTAAGGTAATGACCAAGAATCAATATATATTTCACAGAACTTATCTTTCAAATATAAATAATAATTCAGAGAGCAACCAGTCATAATTCGTGCCTTCCACACTTCAATTCTGATTAAGGTTGCCACCCAGAAAAGAAACTACAATTGAAATATGATCAACTACACTGTTACTTTATTTAATGACAATAAAATACCAGCACATAAAATATATATGCATTTGGTTTGTTCTTTGAAATGAGCTGGTTTATAAATCTTCATTTTCAGATTATTAGTAAAACCTATGTCATTTTCCCTAAGTAATTTTTGTAAAGGTTAGTGTCCATAATTACATGTATGAAGTCTGTAAACATGCCAGGGATATATATTTGGAAAAATGTTTGGGAGATTGCATCATGTATTGGTTTTTTTAAACCTTGTTTTCTTCTGGTTGAGCAGGAAATTACTGTCAAGCTGTGTCCATGAAAAAGCTTGTAAAATAACCTTTTCTAGAAAGCAGAATTTTAGAAAATATTTGAACATACTGGGTTTCTCGTTTTTTTCCTTACTTTGAATAATCTAAGGATAATTTCTTAAATCCAATTATGATCACTAAATTACTCAATCTTTTAGGCCCATGATATGCTTGATATTATGTGGAAGTCATAATAATAGTGACAAAGTAAATATTGTGTCACACACAAACCCAAAGTGAAAAAAACTAGGGTTTTTTTAAAGGGAGGAGATAGGCTTGTTATGTTAGAAGTAGGTCAGATTACAAATATCTTAGCTTTTAAAAAATATATAATGTTGAACATTTTAAAAAGAAGAGTAAAAGTTAATACAAACAAAAACAACGTAGAAAGAAAAACAAGAAGTAGAATAAAAATAGGAAAGAAATAAGATATAAAAAAGTAGCTTCTATTCTTTGTTACAACAGTAGCTATATAGGAAGATACTGGAAGTAGATGACCATTTTATTGACACTAACAAAGGCATCATTTCATATTGTCCAGGAAAAGGCAATAGTAAGCCTCACTTGCATTTTATTAAGAAAACCATATGAATAGACAACACAAGAAGCCTGATGATATGGTACTCAATTATGAATCCTTCATCTCAGCTGACACTCAACATGCTACTCAGGAATAGCTGAGGAATTTTTGGAGTACTAATGACATGACTAGATTAGGGACATCTATTTTCTGGTTGTAGCCTTGCATGAAAATAAAACAGTCTTTCATTGACCAAAACAATATATCCATACATATACAACAGCCGATAAGAATACACAGATAGCAAATTAATTATATTATTGGTAGAATTATGTGGAAGATTTCAGTCATAAGAATAAAGACATGGCCGAAGGCTATGTCAGCCTTGCAAAATAGACCAAATCAGAAAACTAGCTTCACAGGAAGATCAGAACTTTTATTGAGAGGCTATAGTAGCAGAATCTTGCAAGCTTATCCATGGTTCTCTTCCCCACTTCTTATATCCCATGGAATGTGAGGAAGCCAATCCATTTCTCATATTTTTTCACGTTATATTTAATATATTTTCAGCATCTGATTTTTTTTCCTATTAGTTTCAGGAAGTTTTCTCTGACCTCTCTCTATGGTTCCATACAGACTGGCTGTGGAACAGATCAGAGACTGTTCATGTTCAGGTTTCAAGTTAAGCTAAAACAGAATAGAAAGCAAACCATTTTTTTTGCAATATGATCTTGAGGATATATGCACTACAGTATTTTTAATGAGTATATCAGGAATCACCTTTGGAGAGATCCCTGGTACTATTGGTGTTTGGTGGTTTTCTTGCAGACATTTCATTACCAAATCAGGTAACATGACCAGTGCTAGAAGCGGTAGGATTTCTCTTATTTTTATATACCAGTGGCTTGCCCTGTCAGTGTGAGTGGAATGTTCTTGGTGGCTCCTTGATTAGGTTTTTTAATGGTTAGTTTGTTTGTCTTTGTTGGTAATTCCTTGATTGAGATATTGTTTGCTTTTTGATTGTAGGTCTAGTGTTAATCATGGCTTACATGGGTGTTGATTGCTGGTGAGGAGGTGTTTTGGCCTTTTTGTTTCCTTTTTAATACTTTCATCATCTTTGTTTCATGGTATGTAGATATTGTTTACCTCTATGTATCTGTTGATGTCTGCTTTGTCTCAATGCCAGGAATGCCTCCAAGAATTCTTTGGCATTTTTGGACTTGGCTTAATCTAGGATGCTCACAGTTTCCAGTTGAAACTATGGCAGATTTTGTCCATGTGTTGAAAAATTAAGGAGTTAATTAATTAACAGAGCACTAAGGACCTCACAGTTCAATGCTGAGCTACAAATATTCTCTTCTATCAGTATCATTTTCTGATTCAGTTCTGAGTCTCATTGGAACTAGAGGAACAAAAAGAACTGTGAAATGAAATTAAAGTTATTTAAGATGAATATGAAAAAATACTATTAAACAGCAAGAAAAAGAAGAAAGCAAACTGGATGCCAGCTCAAACTGTGGAAATTATAAAGAAGAAAAGAAAAGACAATGACAGAGTTCTCAGGAATGAATATAACAAAGCATTTCAGAGAGCTGTTAGAGCAAGAAGCAGTATCATCAAAACTGTTGGCCTATGATGCATTGTTTCATCCAACATAAAGTTAAAAACATGAGTTTTAGTAGTAGATACCATGTTTCCCCGAAAATAAGACTCTGTCTTATATATTTTTTAATCCTGAAATAAGCGCTTGGCCTTATTGCCATGCGCTCAATAGCCCGATTGGTCTTATTATCAGGGGATGTCTTATTTTGGGGAAAACAGGGTAGATTTTACAGGCTCTTTATGGGCTATGGCTGCTTTTATGCTGCTTTTTTTGTTTTGTCTTAACCTTGGCAAAGTTTATTTATTTGCAAGTTTTTGAAATGTTACAATCATAACATATTAAGAAGAATTTATCACTCAGTAAGGAATAGGTGCCTCTGCAAAGAGTTTATTCTTTGTGTTTTGAAAAGATAATGCATTATTGTTAAACTGTCATCACTGTGTGATTGAAAGTCATTAAAGACTGCTTGCTAGTAGCAGAATTTGCCATAACCCATCTGTTGAATGGCACTCTTAAAAATGATTTCCAGTAAAATAAATGAGGCATCTTTTATACATATATATGCAAATATGATTGTCTATAGTATTTACTGCATTTTGTATATTTATTTGTAGGAGTTGTAGTTTCATGATTTTAATGAAAGGAAAATTTAAGAGTTTCCATTTAGGTGTTTAATCACCTAGGTGGCCTAATGGTTGACATGGTACATTCGACTATATTGAGAGTATCAACAGTGGGAAGATGACACATTCTTAATATTTGACAGATTAATATATGTCTTGTTCCTGAATTTATACATAATTGAAGGTGATATATATTGGTCTGTCATCCATCATTGAATTAATTTTTTTAAGCATTAGATTCTCCCATGCCATGTAGCATATCTCTACATCAAGGTATCTCCAACCTTTTTGGTTTTGAGTGGCTACTTCAACGTCTTCCCATGTGATGTTTAGAGTCTTTTAAGTCTTCTCTGAATGTTCTTCATCATGTATTTCAAGGGCATCCTCTTGGTCCTTTGGCATCTGGGGGTTCCATCTCATTGCCATCTTGGGGATTTGATTGTTCTCCATGCAGAGATTATGATGTGTGAGTTGGAGTCTTCTGCCTGTGAGAATGTTATGTAAACTGCAGGGAAAACTCTTGGAGAACTTCTTCATTAGCAATTTGATCAAAATAGTGAAATTTAGGATTTGGTGAAGGTATCTTTGTTGAAAGACGTCAAGTCTCTTGGAAGACTAATGCCTTCCAAGTCTCACTGGTATAAATGGCTATTGACATCACTATAGAAGCAAATGGGAATTTAAGTTTCAGTGATATAGATGATGAGGATAAGGTATTATTCACAGCTATCAATCTGTCCCTGTAAAATTATAACTGCTACAGCAGACTTCCTCAATTTTTTTGGCTTTGTGGACCAGCAAGGGGGAGAGGGGATGGTTCCGCATGTGTGGCAGGTAAGCACACATGTGTGTGCAGCTCCATTTGTGCAAGCAGCAGGCACACCCACATGCTGCTCATACAAATGGACCTCACTGACATTTCTATGGCCCAGTTCTGAAAGGCTCAAGGCCCAGTAGTTGGGGACCCCTGAGCTACAGAATCAGCAAGAAAAATTAAATAATACAATAATTGCTTTTGAGGTTGGCTAATGAAATCACATCTGTATTTGTATTTATGTTTCAGACATAGACAGAACAGCAAATTACATTATGCGAAATTGCTAATTGTGCATTGCAGAACTGCCTTAATATTCATACATTTATGTTTATACCAGCAGTCCTTCATTTACAACCATAATTAAGCCCGTAATTATGGTTGTAAGTTATTGTGGTCATTAAGCGAGACATCCATATGATTGCCTTGCTGAATGACCACAGTCCTGGCTCTATTTGTTTGATTATTAAGTGACCATGTGGGTCATTAAGCTGAGCATGGGGTGCCTCAGAGGATGACAGAGGCCCTGGGAAGCCTGGTGCAGGCCCACGCTCTCACTTTAACATCTCTGAGGTATCCTTTGCATAGCTTGTTTTTCACTGGTTCCCACATTTTGGCATCTCCTCCTCACACTATCATGCCTTGTTCTACTGGCCTATTCCAAAGATTGCTTTTTCAAAAGAGCACCCAGCAAATGCAACATGTAGCCTTCCTGCAGAAGCCATCTTGAGCCATTCTGGAAGTGGGCATCATTCTCAAATCTTTTAGAGGAGAGATTGTGAGAATGATATCCACCTCCACAATGGCCCAAGGCAGCCTCTATAAAAGGCCATGAATCATATTGATTGATTTTCTTTAGGAAAGGCGACTTCCAAAAATTGCCTTTTTGAAAAAGAATCAGGTAATTCACCATGAGGCCTTTCTATATGGAAGCTGTTTCTTTCTATCCATTTTGTATAAAAAGGCTGTGCAGCACATTGGCTGATTCTCTTTCAGAAAAACAATCTTTGGAAGAGGTAAGTGAAGCAAGGCATGACAGGGCAGAGAGGAGGCCCAAGCGTGTGTATCTTAGCTGGATTGAAGGCCCAAGTCCTGTGAGGATCCATCCAGGCATGAATCAGGCCCTAAGAGACGCAGAGGGGCAGATTGGAGCGGCAAGTGGGGCCAGTTACAGTGTCTCTGTGGTCAGCTAAACATTTGAATTGTGATCATGTGATTGTGGAGGCATTGCAATGACCATAAACACATGAAGGTCATAACTTCTTTCATTCAGCACCATCATAATTTTGAATAGTCGCTGAATGAATGGTCATAAATTGAGGACTACCTGTGTGCTAGAAACAAGTGCCTCTTGTTTCTAGAATCTATATCTTTGCATCTAGTGTTATGTACAACTTTTTAATTTTTATAAACCAAGTTCTTAATTTTAGGTTCAGTCAATATGTTAACAGTACTTCTACCTCACTACTTCTATATCATGTGAAAATCTTTTTAATCTCAAAAGATAGTAGGATAAAGTATGGAATTAAACTAATTAAACCATAGAATCACCGTGATTAATTGAACTAATTATTTTCATGCTTGAAAGTTTCCCAGATCAGTTCTTGATCATGAATGGGGGCTTCGTCATCCAGAATGATCACAACTGGCACACAAGATGGATTTGTGGGGAGGTCCTTCGGCATGGCTGCTGCCTGCTCATTTAAGCAGGAACTGAGAGTCCAAGAACATTCTCAAATTGCACCCCCAAAGAAATGTTTTCCCAACGAGAACTAAAAAATAGAAAATGCTTTATCCGGGAGCCCCATCCCCCACCAAATCCACAGGCACTGGTCTTGCTGGGGTTAAACCACAGTTTGTTTTTTTCTCATCCAGCCTCTGAAGACCTTCAGACAGAAGGGAAAGATCTTGATGGCACCTTCAAAATCAAGTTATGTTTATAGTCTATATTTTCATGTCAGAAAAAGGTTTCCTTCCTTCTTTAGCAATGGGAGTAGACATTTATCTTCAGTTGGTTAACATAAATTAAAATGTGAATTACTAGCTGTAAGACTTCAGTAAAACAGGTTTCCTTTTCCAGAAATTTATAAAACCAGATTAATTTAGAATATGTTTGTAATTACAGACTTTTTGTTTTTTCTATGTTTTTATTTGTTGTGTTTCCGTATTTTTTTTCTTTTTTGAATTGTGAATTGTTCATTTTTATTTTATGTATATTTGTTTGGCAATGGACTGTCTTGTATAATGTAATTAATTAAATCAAATGTATTTGTAAAAGTTGCAGTTTGCATCAGTTTAGCTAGCAATCCTTAGATGATTATGGGAAAAAAAACAATGTTTCAATTTCACAAATGACATAGAAGATGTCGTTTGATTTATTCAAGGTTATTCATAATATTTGGTGCTAGGAGACCTATATATGAGTTGTTTAAAAAGGTCTTTAGGCAATTAATGACCTTTCTTTCTTTCTTTCTTTCTTTCTTTTTTTTTTTTGCCCCTGCATTTTAGGTTTGTGATTTGTCATTCAGCCTCAAGAAAATGCTGATCCGGCACAAGTTGACTCACAATCCCAATCGGCCCATGGCTGAATGCCAGCTATGCCACAAAAAGTTTACAAGAAATGACTACCTCAAAGTACACATGGAAAATGTCCATGGGGAAACTGACAGCTAATTTTGGCTTAAAGTGTGTAGTGCTTTCGATGCTTCTAACTCCAGAGTTCAGTCAGATGAGTAAATACACAATGCAGACTGTATATTTTAAAAAGTGTTCATGTAGACACTTCTTTTCTTGGGTTTTCTATTCAAAGTAAAAGTATTATATGATCAGTGAGGTAGGAATGAAAATAATTCATGTCATGGTGAATCAAAACATTATTTCAATTGGGAAGTTTATTACTAAAATATGTTATAATTCTATCATAATTAATATTTTTTACTCTATTTCCATATAGTAAAACTTTAATTCAGTCGTAGACATATGGGCTTAGAGTAAGGTCAATTACTTTCGATATGTAGCATTTAGCTACATTTCTCAGTAGAACTATTTTTTTAGCTATACATGCAGGAAGGAATGGTATAGCTTTGATAATTATTGTTGAGTAAAGAAAAGCTTATTTCCCATGATCTCATCCATTCCACATTCATTCTGTGGAAAAAGCAACAGGCTTTTATTGAAAGCACAGGGTTTTCAGCATGACATGGTTTTTGAAAGATGACAGACAACTTAAGGTTAAGACAGATTTGGCCAAATGCATATCCGTTAGAAAATTCGTTAGCACTGCTCTGTTTGGCCTCCTACTTTCCTAAAAGGGAAAGGTTGTGATATACAAAAGTCTGAACTGTGTTTATAGATGCCCCATTGGAAGCACCTGCAAACCATTCTTTCTTTGGCCACTTAGTATCCATACCAAAGATTAAAATTATGAGATGATCATGATCAACCAAACTGAGATGCAGTATCTCCAGGGTTGGCTGCTGCAAAGTGCTCCTGTTTTTTTGCTCATGCTTTATTCTGTTTAAGGGAACCAGGACACAGATTTAGTTCTTTGTCCTGATTCTGGTATAAATTCACTGGAAAACCCTAAACTAGCTTTTCTCAGTTTGGCACTCTCAAATTTGTTGGATTAAAGTAGGTAATGTTCTTGGCTATGAATTCTGGGAATTGTAGCCTAATACATCAAAAAATTCAGAATAAGAATGAGTCTTCTAAACATTTCCCCATTAGAATTATTCCTGTTCAGCGAGGCTTTTTAAATGGCCTGGATTGATTGATTGACTGCAGACATTTCAGAAGTATAAAACTGGAGCTGTTTTATTAAATTTGATTTCAAAATTTTACTTTGGGCATTGGGTGCAAATGTACTATTTGTGTGAAATTCTTTAGAGCAGACACATGTATTTCAGGAAAAGGACAGATATAAGATCCTGGAAAAAGATGCAGCTGCTTTAAATAGTTGAAGACAACATTTTGTGCCTCCAAACACTGTGAAGCACTTTTTTGGTACTGATGCTGAAGCATTGTGTAGCTCTGATAGAGAATATATTGTATTCTGTGCATTTGTTAGGCTGGTTTCACAAATGGAGAAAATTCTTAAGTTTAGTAAATTAAAATTGTGACTAGGATTTTATTCAACTAGTTAGCGTGATTTTTCAAGCAACACTTGCTATTACTTAAAATATGTTAATGAACTCAGAATTTATATCAAAATTAGAATCTATTTCAAACAGCGCTCTCTTATCATAGCATTCCTAGGGAGATTTACAATCTTCACTGTTTAAATGTGATCGGGATTATAGCATTGGTTGGTCATGGACAAGGCAAAACAGAAGCAGTCCTAAGAATGATCTGTTGTTAAAGTGTTTAAAGGTGTTAAAATACAGCATTAAATACTAATACAATATTTGTAAATGTTAAACAAAATGAGAAGTTAATCTCAGAATATTATCCAACCCTTGATTAAACAAAGGAATATATAAACAAAGGATTTTTTTTTTTAGCCTGAAGGAATTTGTGCAGATTTGAATAAGGCTTTTGAAATAAATCTCTCATATCTGTAAAAAAAGAAAATCCTACTATTATGAAGACAGAGTTAAGAATAATTTGTTAACTTTATTACTTTTTCAGCAAGTAGTTCCTCTTAATTATTTGAGTAATTCCTTGAATTCTCATGTGTGGATAAGAATGTAGAGCTTGCATGAAAAGGCGCTTCATGACTGAAAATAAAAGGTACCAACCTATATTCTTTAAAGCAAGGGTGTCAAACTCGCGGCCCATGGGCTGGATGCATCACACTCTGGCCACGCCCATGCTCAGATTTTTTTTTAGGGGGGAAAAAGTGATGATATGTCACGTGACAACTCCATGACGACATGAGTTTGACACTCCTGCTCTAAAGAAAACATGGGTTTGGAAAATTAAATTCTTTAAGTAATACACAATATAACCCATGTGCTTTCTTCCATACATATATTTAATGTCTTAACAGTATCTGTGCCTGGCTATAGCAAATATTAGATCTAATTCCATACAGATACAAAAAAAAAATCTGTATTAACATCCACATTTAATCTGATGCAGGATAAATATTTCCCCCATGCTTGTTCTGAAACGCTTAGCTCTCCCTGATTCTAAATAATTATTTCAGAATGGAGCTGATACTCAAGCTGCCTCCTGCAACATGGATATTAAATCATTTCTTAAAGGCTTACTTCAAAACCTAATCTGAAATACCCCAAAGCAGTGAAATATGGCAATTTGCCCACAAATTCTGATGCGTATCTTCTAATTCCTATAAACTTTTCCAGAACTGGAATCTAATGAAAACTGAACAATTATCTATTTAATCTCCATAATAAAGTAATCACTAGATGCATTGGTTATAGCATTAAGTCTCATTTTGCTGTTAATATTGTTGTGATTGGTAATTTACTTTCCATAAATGGGCATTGATGTGTCATCTAGCTTGTTTGGGGAAAATATTTGATCTGGAAAATGAACTGGAATTTGGTTTTTTGGAGGGAGAAAGAAAAGAAAATGGGTCTATTTTACGATGAGTAATTCACATAGACTTGTTTATATATATATATATATATATATATATATATATATATATATATATAACTTTATATAATGCATATATTCTAAATTTCTCAGAATTTTCAAGAGTTACAATTACCTTAATTATGAGGAGAAGCCAAGACAATAAAGTGTGTTGTATTGGTGAAAAACGTGACAGACACTGTTTATTGTGCTTTTCTTGCTTGGTTCTTTCATCTCTTCTTGTATCAATTATGTGTCCTAAAGGTTTAATGTTATTAGCTTATATTTTCACTGAAGAATTTCTGTTCAGAACCTTCATACCAAAATCTGTAATTAATAAGTGTGCTTTAGATATAATTCATATGTATGAACATTGCTAGTTCTTGAATAGAGAAGCAACTATTGTCTCCTCATTCCCGACTTCATCATAATCTGGATAAAATGATATAAGGCATTATTTCAGGACAATCCCTTTCAGTCAAGCCTCTGAAGATATACCTTAATGCTATTATCCATAATAACTTTTATTGAAGTGTTTTATTTATTATTCTTCTCTGTGCATAATGGGGGAGTTTATCAATGAATTGTTGTACTTATTCATCCAATTATATGGAATGTTTGAGCTTTTTCTGTAAGTGAAGTACAGCAATACAAAATGGACCAAAGATATATTAAAGCTACTGTTTATACATAGAAGTAATTTGAGATTCCCTGCTTTTTTAGTCCAGCTTTGAGATCTTCAGGAATGAACATTCAACTGGTAGTTGCTTTTACCAGCACACATGGGATTACTCCTTTGAAAAACTTATAGCAACTGACTTGATTGAGTAACTTCATTTGAATTTAGCAGATATCACCTGTCACTGTGTCAATTACCTGGCTCTATGGCTTTGAAACAAACAAAGCCTATAGTACAGTGGACTAAAGCACTGTTATTAACAGATTAACATCTGCTGCTTGCAATTACTGCAAGTTCAAATCTCACCAGGCTCAAGGCTGACTCAGCCTTCCATCCTTTCAAAGGTAGGTGAAATGAGGACCCAGTTGTGAGGGCAATAAGCTGACTTTGTATAAATATACAAAAGTATGAAGGCTATTGCTTAACGCATTGTAAGCCACCCTGAGTCTCCGGAGAAGGGCGGCATATAAATTAAAGCAAAAAAAAAAAAGCCAACTGGATTGTTCAATTATAAGGAAACAGAAAGTAAGGAATTATGGTATGTAACATTTAAAAAAAAAATACCCCCAGAGAAGACTGTGAATTCATGTTGTTTTGAGTGAGCATCAGCAAATATTTTAAAACAGCCCAATGAAAAGATATTCATTGTTTTTCCCAAGAATTCTGTGGAGAAATAGACATGAAGTCATGCTATTTCCGAAGAATCTTGTTCAAAGAATAAAAAAGAAAACATAAACCAAAACCTCATGTTTTTAAGCTCCACCCCCACCTTAACATTTACTTTTCTATTCCAAACTATTAATTTTCTCGATCATGTTTATACTATTCAAAACATTTTAAAACTCTGGGATGAATTGTTCTTTCCAGCTACAGTTCATGGCTTTATCCTCAAAGAATTACTTGGAACGTTCTCAAGGGATTAACCCATTTTGAAGTCAGTGGTGAAGTGCTTATGGCATTTTGAAGGCAAATTACACATGATTTGCAGTACACAAAGAGTTTTCCACCTTTGCATCTACTGATGACATACTTGGATTTCAGATGAAGTTAAGGGTTTGGCTCAGTGTTAAACTGCAGGAAGGACTGTGCTTGCCTCATAAGCAGACTTTCTGTGCAAAGTTATGGTAACCTTGTTCAGATACAGAAGTTTGTTTATAAATGTTAACATAATCCAGTTTGGAAATAGTTGATCAACCATCTCTAAGTGTCAGTTACTTCGAGTCAACATCTATTTATTTCTAATTTAAAAAACGGTGTTTATTGAATGTGACAACCCCAAATATGCATCCTAACATAGCTTAGGATGGCTGCTTTATGCAGTTGAGATATTTTTTGATTTTGTATTAATATGAGATGTGTTTTGATTTTATATTAATATGATTGTTTTCATTTTAAAAAAACTGCAGCCCAGACTAACTTGATAAAATGGATGCACATATAAATTAAATAAATAAGATTAACAATTCTATAGCACAAGACAGATTTAGAAGTAGGAGGATAGTCTTTAATGGTGTGTTTTTGTTCTCCAGGCTTGATTTGTAAAGAACACCAAAGAATAGGTGATGTTTTAAGGCAGCATGAAAAATGAATTTTGCCCTTTAAAAAAAAGGTTGATTTCCCATAGATTTATGATCTTGAAAGTATTAAAAGCTCAATTCCCAAAAGTGAATGCATACATTTTGGGTTGAGCTGGACTAGTCATGTCTTATAATGTCCAGTTTATCATTATCTAAACTGTAAGGAACTACAAATTCCACTAATCATTCTCTGTGTTTTTTAAATGATGCTGGACATTGATAATATTGTACCCTGTCAAGATTCATCTGAGAAGCCAAAGATACTTTGGCATAAGCAACATTTAATCTATCTTGCACCAGGAACACTAAGTTAACAATACTAAGCTATTATAAGTTTCAGATTTCACATGCAGGAAAAAGCAAAACTGGAACAAACAAGTCAAGAGCCTTGGTAGAGCAACAGACTAAAGCACTGTTAAGTAACACCAGCTGCCTGCAATTGCTGCAAGTTCAAATCTCACCAGGCTCAAGGTTGACTCAGCCTTCCATCCTTTCGAGGTAGGTAAAATGAGGACCCGGTTTGTGGGGCCAATAAGCTGACTTTGTATAAAAAAGAAGGGGAGGGCTGAAAGCCCTACTAAGCAGGTATATACAAAAGTATGAAAGCTATTGCTTGAGGCATTGTAAGCCGCCCTGAGTCTCTGGAAAAGGATGGCATATAAATCGAACCAATAAATAAATAAGAGGTACTGAATGACAGTTGACATAAAATGTCACTTTCTCTGTGTCTTGTTAGTTCTGCTTGTTTGGCATCTATCTTTCAGGCAGTTAGGGTGATGCTTAAGCTTAACCCTTGGTTACTACTTAAGTTACAAAACAGTGAGATTACAGCCTTTGCATGACATGCATTCTATCATCACCCTCTAGTGACAAAAGAAATTGGGCAGAAAACCAAGGAATCCAAAATAATATAGGCTGGCCAGATGTTCCCTGTTTTGCCATGAGTTCTCTCTCAAGTCAATGAAAAAGTATTCTTACACTTCCTGATCTGAGTCTGACAGGAGATTAATTAGTTTAGACCGAAAGCCAGGCTGGAAAAAAGGACTGCAGACTATAAATGTTTGTATGGCCCAAATTCTGTTGTGCTTTGCCAAAACTGTGAAAACTTGACTCTCATCCTGAAGTGATTTACTTCCACAGTTTATTCCTGGTCTCCCCTCCCCCCCCATTTGTTTTGCTTCTCAATTGACAGCTATATCTGTTTTGGATTTTATTACTTCTGTGGTTTATGTTTTAATGCTAGTTTACTAGAGTTTCTCCATTAATTAAAGCAGCATAAAATAGATTACTAGCTACTGAATGTTTGAAACATAAATGAACAACCAAGTAAACAACGTTAACCATATATACTTTGGTAAAGATTTATTCAAGAGTTAGGTACATCATCAGAGATAATATCTTAAAATATGGATGTCAAGGAGAAATCTAAATATGTCAGAACTGAAATCCTGTCCCATGGTAGTGTGTGGAATGGATGGTCAATTCTTTTTCTGCTGCCAATGAACAGCTGATTTTGTTACCAAAGCTACAGTAGTTATATGGTGGCTTTGCTTCCTGTTTTTTGAGGGGCAGAACAGGAAGGGACCTAGTCTACCCTAGTCTACTCTTCACCACAATGGAGAACAGGGGGTCTGGATGCCTGCAATTCTTGGTAAGGTAAGAAGTGATCTGAAGGTCTAGTCCAGGGGTATCAAACTCGCATCGTCATGGTGGTGTCATGTAACGTATCATGACTTTTCCCCCCTTCTTCAAACCAGGCATGAGTGTGGCCAGCACATGACACATCCAGCCCATGGCTAATAAGCCCTGGTCTAGTCTGTTGCCACCTTTTTAGCTGTTCATTTTTCTTAAACAGCCTTGAGTTTTAATTGGACTTTTTGAAGCAATCTCTTGATTTATGACTAGTTGGCTTCTGACCTATTTTATAACCCCTTTAATTTTTTTTTCTGGCCTTTCACTGTTTACTATTAAATTCTAAATTATTTTAGAATTTATTTAAGAAGTTTGTGAGGATATTTACATTTACACAGAATTATACTACAAATTTTGCTCTTTCTAGCTTTTTTTCCCTCTTTTTAAAAAGAGAATTTATTAAAACTAGACAATCCCATAAAATATAGACTGTACATAGAAAAAGCCAAATTCTGGATAAGGTACAAATCAATATATTAAGTTAAATTTAGAATTGCATTGTATATAAAATTTACTGGTAAGGTATGAAGTTATTCTGGGTATCAAAATATACTTCTGCAACTTGTTTAACTGGAGATGAAATAAGTATATAAAGAAGTGAAAGATGCCTATCTAAAACACTGAGAAAACCTGAAGAATAATCAGTAGTCACTGCTTAACAAAATAAACCAATACTCTTATTCAATATATGGCAATTTTTACAACATGGTATTCTTGTCTTCACAAATCCAATGAAGTAAGTAAGGGTAACCATAAAATAGACAGCCTCTTTTCAGAAACATTCCATTCTTCCAGATATCATAGAAACTTGAAGTCAAGCTTCAGAGAGTCATAAACTAGGAAGAAGTTGCAGACAATCTCAATTACTTTTAAGGGATCAAGA